GAAACATCTAAAACATGCAGGACTGTGGCCCTCGAGGACCAGGATTGCCCACCCCTGATGTAGGCTGTGGCTTGATGTTCTCACAACATGTGGTAAAAATTTAATTTCACCTTTATCTATCAATTTAATTTGTAAAGTCAGTCCAAATAAACATGTTCCTGATTAATTCTAACCCCTTAATGCACCTAAAGTTTTATATTTCACCCTCCATTTAGGAGAAACAGCTATTTTGAAGAAAGAACTACAACTTCCAGTTGCGCAGCCTCACTGTTGACCCGGAAGAGATCCGTCCTACAGGATCTATAATGTTTTTGTGTGTACAGTAGGTGTCGGTAATGCACCTGAACGTTGGATGCCAACCGCCAAATCAATAGAAGAAGAAGCAGCAGCAGCAGCAGCCGCAGCAGCAGCTAGGCTAGTAGCTAATGTAGACAGCCTTGACGAGTGAGGTAAAAGCTTCACAAAGCTACAGATACGTTCCCCATTGCTGGCCTCTCAGTTACAATAGTCAGATTATCCATCGCTGTGATCACAGTATACGTTCCGGTCGCCATTTTCCTGCATGTGTCCTTCTTTTCAGTGTTGCATTTGTTTACAGAGAAATGAAAGTAATGACGAGCTTGTAGCGCAAGCACATGCTGGGGAACACAAAAAAGTCAGGCAAATCATGTCCCAGGACACGAAACAATAGATTACATTTTGTGACTATTTTACCAATTGCCATGAGACTGGGTTGAACAAACACTATGAACTAATTCTCTGAAGCATACAGGAACAGGAAGTTAGGTCAAACGTGAATAATTACAAGAGCTACGGGGACCTCTAGGGACAAGGCAGAATATTGACGCACTAGATTTAGCCTTAGCAAAAAGTACAGTGAACACAACAAGAACGAGACTAGCAAACCCAGGACTGGTATGACCAGATTGGGAGAGCGACTAATAACCAAATGTAAAGCACAGCACAGATTAAAGAAAGGTTTACGGGGCCAGAGAGACTGGGAGCTTGCTAACAGAGTACGTGTTTGGGGTGAGGGGAGGCAGACGACGTGGCGAGTGGTGGAGGTGGCGGCAAAGCAGGCACAGTGACTGGGGCAGACGGAGCCAGGAGTTTCCAGAGGGAGCGTCGGATGTGTGTTGAGAGGGAGATCGCTGAAGCAGACCAGGGGCTGCAAGTGTGAGTGCTCAGGTGATTATCCAATCACTGTGCCCGCTTATGCCCTGCACACTCACCACGCACACGCCCACCTGAAAATAAAAGAAAAAGAGAGTGAATAGAGAAAAGGGGGCTGCAAGGTGGTTTGGTGGTTAGCACCGTCGCCTCGCAGCAAGAAGGTCGCCAGTTTGATAGACACCCGGGATCTTTCTGCGTGGAGTCTCCATGTTTTCCCCGTGCAGCGTGGGTTCTCTCTGGGTTCTCTAGCTTCCTCCCTAAAAGCATGCTGAGGCTAATTGGTGGTTCTAAATTGTCTGTAGGTGTGAATATGAGTGTGCTTGGTTGTCTGTCTCTAAGTGTAGCCCTGTGATAGACTGGTGACCTGTACAGGGTGTCCCCTGCCTTCACCTTAAGTCAGCTGGGATAGACTCCAGCTCCCCGTGACCCTGGTGAGGATTAAGCGGTGTGTAGACAATGGATGGGTAGATAGAGAAAAGGGAGAGAGAGAGAGAGAAGAAAGAGAAGACGGAGAGGCACTGCCACTAGCCCCACCCTGAGGTAGAGGGCGGGACAATTAGACATCAGGTATGTTTCCTGTAGAAACATTATCTTAGCTTTCAGTTATAACCTGCTTAGCTGTCAGTTCTTTTATCCTGTTCATAACCTGCTTGATTTTATATGTTTATGTAGACCACTACTGTTCCATGAAATGCATTCAACTAAAGTGTCCGTCATTATTTGTTAGGCTTATTTTGGCCCAGCATGTTACTTAGATTACTATAGATGTAAAGCTGAAAAGGCATTGAAGTCAAATAAAACTGGTACCATAATGAACAGAGAAAGAGATCCCCAACCCCTATATGAACAAGCCTGGTTTGAACACATGGGCATTCCCTTACCCTCCTTGAGTCTCCTCCTTGTGACACTTGGAACATTACAAATGCCGCTCTCATTGCTTACAAAATTAGACACAATTCACAACTTTTCTTGCATATGATAACATTACAGTTCTTATTTAACTATTTTAAAGTTAAGTATATATTTTCATATACCTTGAACATAAGGAATGATAAACTGCCTTGTAGAGTGATATGACAATAAGCCCTTTCTGTCTGCTTTCTCACGTCATCACATTGTCTCTGTTGTTTGTAGACTTCTGCTGAGAGGTCCGGGAGAACTCTTATCTTGTTTTCCTTGTGCATCACTTCTTTCTTTGCCCGAGCAGCTCTAAAGATGCTCTCTCTGTCCTTATAGTTAAGGCACTTCACAATAACCACTGTCAGAGCCCCAGTGGGTCTTTGGCTCATTATTCAGTGTACTCTCTCCAGAGCAGGCGATGGCACATTCAAGTTTTCCGTGATCCATTTCTCCATGAAAGATCGGGGCTTTGAGCCTTCTTCTCTCACAGGGATACCTAATATGCACATGTTGTTCCGTCAGCTCCTGCACTCCAAATCCTCCACTTTGAGTAAGAGTAGCTTCGCCCTTTTCTCAAGTTTTTCCACCACACCTTGTAGTTTGTTAATCAGGGATCTGTTTCACAAAGCAGGTTCAACAAACCCCGAGTGTAATCCTGAACTCTGAGTTGATCTACTCTGAGATAGGAAACTCTGAGTTTCCGGTTCCAGAACAGCGGATTTGAGTTACTTTAATCAACTCGGAGTAGTTTCACCGGAAGTTAAGTGCATGCACCACAACTATAAAAAGCCAGCATCAATGGAGCCCCGAGTCGACAAGTCACCATGGCAACGGGGAAGCAGAGGTTTTTCACCTCACTAGATTTGTAAATCTTAATGCGCTCATACAGCGAGTTTGAACATGTTTTTAAAAAGAAGTGGAACACCGCCGCAGCTGCAACACAGGGAGACGGCGTGGAGAACATTACTGCTCGGGTCAATGCATAAGTTTAATTTTCGTCTTTTGCAATCACAATAATATTACAGGAGAACTGCTTGAATGGAAGCCTATTAATTTATTTCATTTAGGTGCAATCTGGTGGGGGAGAAGAGAACTTGGCAGCAGTTTAAGATGAAATATAAAAACATTGTTCAAGTCTGAGGTTGCAGCACAATGTCATAAACAGAATATAATTTAAAATTAATTTAACAGATCTCTACATCATTCACCTGCAATCCTGTGGAACTCCTCCACGATGGTTCTGACAGGTTTATGTCCAAACAACAAAGATGGTAAAACCCATTTTAGGGCAAGGTACACTTTTCTGACTACCCTGCATACAGTTGCCTTACTCAGATGCTCTGCATCTCCGACATTGTACAAAAAACTTCCATTTGCAAAGAAACGCAGCACAACACATAGTATCTGCTGGGATGTGAGAGCATGACTACGGTTGGTAGTGTTGCACATGTAAGGACGGATTAGGTTGTATGTAGATGATGGACTGTGACGTGAAACAGTACTGCTCAAAAAGATAACGGTCTGGAAATGCTAGAACTATTTATGTCTGATAACCATCTCCAGATGAATATTTGATTCTTTGCGCAGTAATGCTGCACCTTCATCCACGGGATTGTTATCAAAAGGACATGTCATGTTCGTGAAAAAAGTCGCCTCCTACTGTGCCTAATGGACTTCTAATACAGCCTACTGACTCATTTTCTTAATGATTTTTGACAGACGGCAGAACTAGGCTATGTCAAAACTCGCCTGCTGACTGAATGAATGAATGAGGAAATCAAATAGCATGTGTGTGGCTGAAAGAGGGCGGAGACAGAGAGAAACTCGAGGTTCATTGAGAAAAACCTGTCCCAACCAGGTTAGGTTCATAGAGTCTGTTACTACGGTAACTGACGGAGGTCTTAAGTTACCTCTCTCTGTGAAACAGGCTAGAGTTACCCCTCTTCCTCTGGTTTGAGTTACCTCCCTTTGTGAAATGGGAAACTCAGAGTTTCCCTCATTTCAGGGTTAACAGACTCAGAGTTTTCACTAAACCTGCTTTGTGAAATGGACCTGAGGTCTTCAGCTGCAGACTCTGTTCTGCTTTATCAATGCGGCCGCTGCATTCTTTAATGTCCGATTGAACACTTAAATTGCTGCTAGAACTCCCTCAATTTCACTATGAAAGTCCTGTTTGAATTACTGTATAGCGTTCATACTTTCCACAGTGGAGGGGCTAGTGTTATTGATGTCATTTGTCCCTGCCATGTTCAATTCTTTGATATCACATGTTCTTCATTACGTTGTAATTCGGTTGCCTTTTGCATGTCCTTGTTTGCTCTTCTCAGCATATTTGCTTGTATTACTTCTGTTTTATGGTTGTGCCATTTTTTTCTGTTGGTTGGGATTGTTTAAATCGTATTGATTTCAGGATTAGCCACAGAGCAGAAGTAGATCTGACTTCTCAGCACGCCGCCATAACCGGAAATCCCCAGTGACTAACATTGACTTCCTGGATACTTCCATTCACTATAACTACTATTTTCCCAACTCTAACCCTTACCCTAACTTAAACATTTACCATATCCTTACACTAATTCCACAGATCTTGAGATTAGATTTTAAGAATTTACATTAAGGGGACTTGCTTGTCCACAAAAAATATTCACATCCCCACGAGTGCCACATGCATACACACAAACAAATACTCATTCAAACTTGGACTAGTTTCAGGTTACATAATGATAGTTATGAAACAAAAAAAAGAACATTTTTTATGTAAGTATAAATCATCTTGCAATAAAGAAGTCTTCTCAGCCCAATGAAATCAGTTGCTGTCCTTCAGTCTTGGACCAGTTTGATTTGTGAAATTTGCCATCACTGGTTGACATTACCTTTTTTCCCCTCCAGGTGGTGCAGTGGGCATTAGAAAAGCTAGAGTTGTCCAAGTATGCAGACAAACCAGCTGGTACTTACAGTGGAGGAAACAAACGCAAGCTTTCCACTGCCATCGCTCTGATTGGATACCCCTCGCTCATCTTTTTGGTAAGAGGTTTAAATGGATGCTTCCTATTGCTACTTTCTGCACAAGTACACTGAGAAACATGAGAAATATCAATCAGTCAAACTTTATTTGTACAGGTTAGTGCAATTCAGATAGCCTTGCAGATAATAAGACAGTTCGAACAGAAACAGTAAAACAATCACATAACATTAGAAAATAAAGAAAAGTGTACAAAAGTAATACTAAAACCAATAAAAAAAAATTTAAAACATAACAATCCAACTATAAAATTCATTAAAGACGGTGTTAACATTGCCACAAAATGAGAGTGAATAAAATATTGTACAACATGAGTACAAAAACTGAATAAATGAAATTTAAAAAAATTAATGCTTTAAATTTGATTTTAAAAACATCTAAGTTGATTTTTATTTTACTTTAAATTTAGTAAAAAAAACAAAACAAAACAAAAAAACAAACAAAAAACGATTTCATTTGATCAGGCTTCCAACAAGATTTTGGATGTTGGGACCTGTTGACTGGTGATGTAGATGGGGTGGGGGTTTGATCATACATAAGAAAATAATGTTTCATCTGATATTGGCTTTCTAAATTGTTGTCCTTTATTCAACATTCGGAATATAGAAATATGTTTGACATAAAGCTCCTTTACTCAAAAGTCCTTTTTTAGTGATCCAGAGGTTCAAGTTTCCAAGGAACCCTCTTGTACACCGCAAAGATCTCAGGTGAGCTCAAAGAAAATTTTTCCCTTCAGCAGATGAAAACAAAATTTAAATATCTCAGGGAAGTCACAATAAGAAAAACACAACTTGAACCTTTAACAGAACTTTAGTAAACATTGCATTTTGTCAAGGTAATGGCCAAAAAATAAATAAATAAATAAATATGTGGAAAATGAATACATTTGTTTAATTGTTCTGCACTTCATTTAAGATTTTACTACTTCATAGAATTGCCAGTGCTGCGCATTGATGCTCAATAAAAAACATGAGAGGGCTGCTGTCAGTCCTACTGATGCTGCTCTTACTGTTCATCGTTGGTGGTTGACCAGGTGATTGCATCTTGGTGGCCTGATTGTCAGCACTAGGTCATGGTCCTGTCTTCAAAAACAACTGGCTAAATGCATGAACACAAGCCGCTAATCAAGTGGATGAACATGTCTTCTAAGCAGCTGTATAATACCAACAACAAGGTTTCCTCAACTGTCTGCATGTGGATCCATAAGAGAGTACACGGTTGAAACTGGAAGTTTACATACACTGAATAAAAAGACAACCTTTTTTTTCCCACTATTTGACATGAAATGTGACTAAACGTTTTCTGTTTTAGGTCAGTTAAGATTACCAAAATTATTTCTATTTGCTACATGTCAGAAAAATGATAGAAATATTTTTCTGATAATTTTGTATGACTTTCTTCAAAGTCAGAAGTTTACATACATTTCCTTAGTATTTGGTGGCATTGTCTTTAAACTGTGTGACTTGGGTCAAATGTTTTAGGTTTCCTTCCACAAGCTTCTCAAAATAGTTTGCTGGAATTCTGGCCCATTCCTCCTGACAGAACTGGTGGAACTGAGTCAGGTTTGTAAGTCGCCTTGTTCACACACACCTTTTTAGCTCTGCTCACAAATTTCTTCAGGATTGAGATCAAGCCTTGTGATGGCCACTCCAAAACACTGACTTTATTGTCCTTATGCACTTTGGACTGTAAGTAATTTGACGGCATGCTTAGGGTTATTGTCCATTTGGAAGACCCATTTCTGCACAAGCTTTAGCTTCCTGGCTGATGTCTTGAGATGTTCTGATAATATTTCTACATAATGTTAATTCCTTGTGATTCCATCTATTTTGTGAAGTGCACCAGTCCCTCCTGCAGCAAAATACCCCCACAACCTGATGCATCATCTAGGCTTTCCCAAATAGTTTGAAGGAATAGTAATCTTAGTGTATGTAAATTTTGACTTTGAAGAAATTAGTAAAAAAAAAAAAAATAATAAATAAATAAATTCTCAAAAAAAAATTCTTCATTATTCTGACATCTAGCAAATAGAAATAATTTTAGTAATCCTGATCTAAAACAGGAAACGTTTTGTCTGATTTAATGTCAGACAGTGAGGAAAAAAAGGTTGTGTCTTTTTATAGAGTGTATGTAAACTTCTGGTTTTGACTGTAATTTCTGGAAAAAGCAAATGAAGACAAATCGTAAATGACCTGAACCATTTACAGTAAACATCCACACAAGCGCTCATAAGTTTAAAGAGCGCAGAATATGCTGACTTTCAGGTTTAAAAATGTAGTTTTGGGATATACCAGAATGTTTGTGTGCTTTCATTTTCAAGAAACACATTACTTTTCTCATAATGGACATTCCTGCAACACCTTTTGTCACCCTCTGTCTGAAACAATCAGCTCCTGTCTCTTTAAAGCCTCACACAGACAAGCACTGTCAGCTCTGACTGGTCAACTGGCCTGACGGAAGGAAACAGTATTGGTTACATATCACAAGGGTTGTTCTGTATGAGTATAGCATAACCCAGTGGTTTTTGGCTTGGAGCCCCCCCTGCTTGTATAGAGGAAAACCTGAGCCCCCCCAAGCCCAAGCACACACACACACACACACACACACACAATAAAACATGTGAATAATTCCTCTTTTTTATTTATAAACAACATATAGTTTTAGTTTTTGTCATTTTCTCTTTGCTTCATATTGGTTATACTTGTTGTACCATGTCTCTTTTCAAAAGAGCTAAACATTAAATGTAAACTTGTTTTTCTATCAACAACACCAACAAATAATGATTCATTCCCAGCATACAGATTGTCAGCAGTAATTAAGCTCTGTCCTAACTTATTCCCTCTCTATTAACTGAAACAGAAGAGGTTTTTGCATATTCACATGCAGAACATTTACACAAACAAAAACAATAGCTTCTTACTTCTTTAAAAAAAAATCTGATGTCCACCTTAAGCTTGCATGCCTCTGACCAGGTTTGGGATGTCAGGTATGATGCTTGTGACAGTCAGTCTTAGGTCCTGGTGGACATCCAGTCTGTTTGGGGCTTTTGTTTTTATTGCTACAAGGGCGCTGAAGGCAGTCTCTGACAGATACGTGGTGCTGAATGGGAGGATAACCCTTGTGACTGCGTGTTTTGCCAGTCGGGGAGCAACAGCCTGTCCTTTAACCATCCAAAACTTTTTGTATCCCTTCTCCTGGAAATATTTTTTTGACACAATCAGCTTGAAGGTCAGCAAGCTCATCCTCACAGCCAAGACAGTCCACGTCCTCGAGACTGGAAATGTAGGGATCCATCACCCAAGACTCCTTTGATAGGTACTCGTCAACATCAGCAAAATGGAACTGAATAACCTTAATAAAGTTAACAACTTTAACAACAGTTGCCAGGGTCTCACTGAGGTCTTCTGAAAGTTTTTTGCCAGCCAATGCTTGGCGATGTAACATGCAGAGGAAAATTGCGCTCTCCAGGACTTTTTCCTTCAGTCGGCCCTGAATCCCTTGTTCTTGCCCATCATCACAGCAGCCCCGTCAGTGCAGCTGTAGCTGTCTCGCTACCTCCATGGGTTCTGCCAGCACAGACACATGAATTGCCGTTGGTCCACAATCTTTTATTTGCCGTACGGCGCAAAACCCAGCACAAAACAAAGAAACAACAAAAAGCGGCCGTGTGTCTGCAGCAAGCACTCTCCAGTCAGCGTCTTTTATCTTCCCAACGCAGGCAGAGATCCTCCTCCTTGGCCTTCTTCTCTCTTCTGAGGGCCAGCACCCTACTATGTGCACAAGCATATCCACAATTAGGCAGAGCAGCAGCACCTGGACCCATCAACTCACCTGACACTAATCTCCTGAGCTCTGCCCCACACCTCTCTCCCCTGCCATTTGCCACCAATTACAACCATCTCCACAGCAGCATGCAACAAGATTTTCGTAGGGCAGATTGTTGGATGAGAAATATGAGTCCACAGTCATAAAAATATCTTGACCCGTTGTTGTTGTTGCTAGATTTGTAGACATAAGAATGTCTTGTTTCAAATCCTCACCGTCAGTATACTGCACATAAACTATGAGCACAGATTCGTCTGACACTGTGGTCATTTCATCCACCTGAATGGCAAAGGGAATATTCCTGAGCTTTTCGTGCAGCTGGTTTTGACAATCTCCAGCCATTTTATCAATTCTGTCCTCACAGTGTTGTCAGAGAGGGGAAGGGTTTCAACTTTTTCCATAACTTGTGGACCACATAGCTTCTCTACAATTTTTAGGCATGCAGGTTTGATGAGCTCTCCGATATATATTTTAGCCTTGGCAATTAAAAGCGAACATTCAAATGACACCTCCGTGGCTCTGATTAAATCACTGCCCACTTTTTTGCATACTGATGTCTCTGGATCTTTTTGACAGTGCCGTCTGTTTTTTCCTGTGAAAAAAATCCTGACCTTCATTCATAGTCTCCAGGTGTTTTGTTTCCTGATGTCGTCTTAACTTGCTAGGCTTCTGCTCTGGTGAAATCTACAGAATCCAACATCTGTTTGAGCAGTAAAGCCACAGAAACACATCTGTGATCAGGTTCAGTCAGAACAACAGTTGCAGTGATCGGAGAGTGTCTTTTTAGCTACCTAAGCTAATCTCAGTCTAAACCTAGCTTAACTAAACTAGGCTTAACTAAGCTAAGGGCTACATGGCCAGCTCCATGCACCCCAGAGAAGACCCACAGCTTAGGAAGGCTAATAAAAAAGATCGCTGACCTGCTGGAGGATATTCGCCAGCTCTCTGATGAACTGAAAAACAAAGACGCTGTGCTGTCCAGATGTATGGAGGTGGCCCACGAACAGTCAATACGGATTGCCTCTCTCTATGTGGCCCTCCAAGACACGGCGCCCTGGGACCATAGACTGTATAAAAGATGAATGTAGCAGCCGGCCCTGAAAAATGAAGCCAACCGGAAAGTGTCAAAAACCTGCAATATCACTACGTCCGCGAGTTGCTGGCTCCACAAAGCCCTGGCTCCCATAGACTTGAATTGGAAAAGAAGTGATCATAGATCACGAAATACCGCATTCCTACAGCTCAGGATTTTTTTCTTATTAGTTTTCATAATCAAATCCAGAGATCAGGTGGCCAATCTGAAAATAAATCAATACTGAACTTAAAAAGAAAAAAAAACAAACAAACATTAGATCCCACTGTTTTTAATAACTACCGACCCGTATCAACTTACCTTTTTTAAGTAAAATTTTTAGAAAAACTAGTTTTTAATCAAGTCAATGACTTTTTAATCAGAAAAAACATTTTAGAAAGACATCAGTCTGCTTGCAGGATGAACCACAGTACCGAAACAGCACTTTTAAAGATTTTAGACGACATCAGGTGGAATTGTGATAACAAGAAACTTACAGTGTTGGTTCTACTGGATCTAAGCGCTGCTTTTGATACAGACCATCATATTTTATTAAATAGACTCAAGCACCTGGTCGGCCTCTCTGGTACTGTTTTTAACTGGTTCAGCTCCTACCTCACAGACCGATGCTTTTATGTAAGTATGGATACGTGTTCCTTAGGGACCCATAAAATTAGGTGTGGGGTTCCCCAAGGTTCAATTTTAGGTCCCATTCTTTTTCATCTTTACATGCTTCCTCTTGGGGACGTCATCAGGAGACACGGCATCAGTTTCCATAGCTACGCGGATGACACACAGCTGTACGTCGCCGTGTCTCCTGATGACACAGGGCCAGTTGATACCCTTTTTAAATGCATTTTAGACATCAAGTCATGGATGGCAGCGAACTTCCTACAGCTCAACCAGGACAAAACAGAAGTTTTAGTTGTAGGTCCTGATGGCCAGAGAGAGAAACTTTTATGAAATCTACAAAATTTTAAACCAGCACAATACGTAAAAAATGTGGGCGTTTTGTCCCGCATATTAAAAACACAGTGAAAATAGGTTTTTATCATCTCAAGAACATAGCCAGAGTCCGCCCGTTTCTCTCTCAGGCCAGCACGGAGGTGCTAATGCATGCTTTTATTGCCTGTCGTTTAGATTACTGTAATGCCCTGCTCTCTGGTCTTCCCAAAAAGAGTATTTTAAATCTCCAATTATTACAAAACTCTTCTTCTCTTTTACTAGATTTTAAATGTCTCAACGGCCTTGCGCCCTCTTATTTAGCTGACCTGCTTTTACCGTATCGACCCTCGCGGATCCTGAGGTCCTCCAGCAGTGGCCTTTTATCCATTCCAGCAGCAAGAACTAGAACCCACGGTGAGGCGGCATTTAGCCACTACGGCCCCCACCTGTGGAACAGCCTGCTGGAGAGCCTCAGGACTGCAGACTGTCGATACTTTTAAAAGAAGGTTAAAGACACTCCTTTTTAATCAAGCCTTTAATTGGCCTTTTAAATTATTTTACGCTCGTCTCAGTTATTTATCTATTTATTATATTGTTATTATTGTTATTATTATTTTTAATCTTATCTATTTTGCTCTTTTAATTTTCATTTTATCTTACATCAGGCCTTTTATTCTTTGTAGTTTCTAGTTTTTTGGGGTTTTTTTTTAACTCCAGTGTTTCCTTAGGGGGGTCCTCCACACTGGGGGTTGTGTCCGATCTGCTGCTGGGGGT